GCGGGCCTTGTGGCGCTCAATGTTGCCGTTGGCATCGCGCTTCTCCTTGTACACCCACTTGACTGGGATGGGCTTGATGCTGGGAGGTGCAGGTTGCAGGGTCCAGGTGTCGTTGGCGGCGAGGGATGCAATCTCCTCATCCATGGCGAGGCGCCACTGGTCGGCCTCGGGGGATTGCAGGGCTTCCTCCAGGCTGGTGGGCTCAGCAGCGGTGGTGGCAATGTTGACGATGGCGGTGGTGCGATCAGTGATGCGGTAGGCGTCGTCCTGCCACAAGCTGGCTGGACGGCGTGCAGCGGCGCGCTCGGTGCGCCGCAGTGCGATGGGAGGGGAAGGTGGAGCTTCGGGCTCGGCTGGCGCTCCCACGGCTTCATTGTCGTCGGTGTCGCTGAAGGGAATGGTCTCGGGCAAGTTGGTCTTGGGCAGGTTGGTCTTGGGCAGGATGGAGCTGGTCTCATCGAAGGTGACATCGCGGCTGATGACGGTTGTGCCGTTGTCAAGTAGAATCTTGTATCCCTTGGTGTTGGCGGGGTAGCCGATGAAACGGCCGGGCTCGCTGACGGCGTCGAGCTTGGTGCGCAGCACGGTGGGAACGTGGGCGTAGGCTCGGGCTCCGAATGTGCGCAGGTGGGACAGGTCAGGCTTGGTGCCGTGGAACAGTTCGTAGGAGGTGGTGTCTTGGGATGAGATTGGAGAGCGGTTGCGCAGGTAGTTGGCGGTGACGATGGCTTCTGCCCACAAGAACTTGGGCAGGTTGGCATCCGCCAGCATTGGACGCGCCTTATCCAACAGCGTGCGGTTGAGACGCTCGGCTTTGCCGTTCTGCTGGGGCGTGTAGGGTACGGAGGTCTCTGACTTGATGCCCTTGGACTGGTAGAAGGTGTCCAGTTCGGTGTTGATGAACTCGCCGCCATTGTCGGAGCGAATGCGCTTGACAGTGTAGCCGGTCTGGCGCTCTAGCATGGTGATGGCGGTCTTGAGGAAGGCGGCGGCGTCTGACTTGCGGCGCAGTGGGGAGATGAGCGAGTAGCCGGTGTGGTCGTCTAGCAGGGTGATGAAGTAGAGGTTGCCGCCGTGAGAGGGGACGGGCATCGGGCCACACAAA